TTCTTCCTTCTCCTTTCTATATACAAGTCAGGTGCAAACACAACCAATTTTATTTCAACTGGGTATATCTTTATCCCTATTTTACACAAACATTTCATCTGAATCATAATCAATTCATTCTCTGTGTTGAAGAAGTTTTATGTTTATTTACTTCCTGTATCTGATTAAATCTATATACTAGTTTTGTAATTATTTTGCAACCTAAAACTAGAGAGACACAGGCTATTTCTACTTTCTGCTTTGCCATGTCCTTGTGGGGTAACAACAAAGGGGGGTGGGTCAGGAAAGGGAACTATCAGGATAAAATATTTAAGTTAGTCTTTCAGAAAACACATTTTCTTATTGCTTAATTATCTTGATTTGCATACCAAAATTTTTTATCTGTTACTAAACTGCACATGATATACAAACATGCAATGCAGATATTTCTTACTTTGTGTGTGTGTGTGTGTGTGTGTGTGGTCTTTCTGAGGTAGGGTCTCCCTGTAGCCCCAGCTAGCCTGGAACTTGCTATGTAGACCAGGCTGGCCTCAAACTCTCAGAGATCCTCCAGCCTCTGCCTCCTGAATGCTGGGATTAAAGGTATGCACCACCATGCCAAGCTATTAGCTATTTTTTGCTAAAATATTCTATGGCAGTTTGTGTAGCCAGGAAATTTGGTAATTCTTTCTAGCCTTTATTGTTCTTCATCTTTCCTTCTGGTACTCGGAAGCACCTGATGTGAGCTATTTAGTAGTGCCTTAGTAAGCTTGTCTTATAAAGAAGCATATAGATATGGTACAGCTCCCCTACCCCTCTCCTGTTCAAAGAGGACTGCCTTACTGGAGAAATTTTAGAACATGGTTTTGCTTTTACTTTTTAAAGATGGTTTCATATAGCTCAAGCTGGCCCTGATCTCCCTGTATGTTGAGGGTGACCTTGATCATCTGATCCTTCTGTTTTTGCTTCCCTGATCTTGGAGTTGTGTGTCTACCACATGTGTTGCTGGGGAGTAAACTCAGGACTTCGTATATGCTACACAAAACAATCTGCCAACTGAATTATATCCCTATCCACTTTTAATTTTTTAAATAGATTTAACAATCACATGGGTCAAAATTAAGAATACATAAGTATATCCCTATCAGGCTTCTCCTGTCCCCAACTAGCCATTTCTTCTACTTATAGAGGACCAATGTTAAATTCTTAATTTTTCCTGGAATTTATCAGTAGCTAAGTAAACTATATACTCATTTTTCCATACATAGCATATGTACATAGGCATCTATATACTAGATTAATTTTTTATTATAAGTATGTAGTTATGAACCTTTGTTTAGTCTCACTAGACAAAGATTTGTGGGGTTTTTCAAAACTGCATATTATTAATATATATGTTTTTTTAGTGTACCTATACTGTACTATCCATTTATAATTTTGTTTTCTGTAGTTTTAGGTACCTGTGATCAGTGGCAGTTGAAAAACATGAAATGGAAATTTCTAGAAATAATATATAAGCTTTAAGTTGCACATTACTCCAATTCCTACGCCATCCTGCCTGGGACATGAATCATTCTTTGGTCTAGTGTATCTATGTTGTATGTGCTATCTGCCCATTAGTCACTTAGTAGTTGACTTTCTAGGTTATCACATTAGCTGTCATTGCAGTTCTTGTGCTCAAGTAACAGAGGCCATGGTCACATAAGTTATTACAATAATTTATAAATTATTGGTGTTAATCTCTTACTGTGCCTATCACATAAACTATATATATATTAAAAAGAATCCCCTTCTCCCTCCCTCCTTCTCTTGTGCCCTCCTCCTTTTCAGTTTCAGGCTTCCATTGTGGTTATAAGAGCTTTACAAAAAGCTGTAAAAGACTTCTCAGTGATTCCTTCAATACCTTTATGTCATGTATGTAAGTGTATTCGTGTCATGCAGTGCCTTCAGAGACCAGAAGAGGATGTCGGGTTCCCTGGAACTGGAGTTAAAAATGATTGTTAGCCACCATGTGGGTTCTGGGAACCGAACCAGGGTCCTCTGCAAGAGCAGCTAATGCTCTTAAATGCTGAACCATCTCTCCAGCCCTGTACTGAGCACTCTTCCCTCACTTTAGCCCCAGTACCTTTATATGTAGATCATTGATGTTCCCTTTTATTCTCCTTTCCTTTTTTTGTATATTATTTATTTTAAAGCAAGGTTTTTCTATGGCAAGGTATATGCTGGCCACAAATTCAGAATTCTACTCTCTCAGTCCCAAAATCCTGGGATTACAGATGTGTACCACTGTGTCCAGTTTATGCCTGGCTTATGAATATTTTTTTAACTTAAAAAAAATTATTGAGAATTTCATACATGCATGTAAGGTGTTTTAAGCAAATCCACACTCACTCCCTCTCCTCCAACTCACCCCATATCTCCCATCACTTTTTCCTGAACAACTTCGTGCACTCTTTCTTTTTTTGCTTTTTTTAATGGGGCTTTTTGCTACTCTAACATTCCCCTCTGAAGAGGTAACTTTAAAATCTTTTAGGGATTAGATAAGAACTCCCAAGTACTTTTGACATTTTTGGCCTTTGGAATAGAGTATGTTGCTAAGAGGCCCAAAGATGTTTTGATTTTTAGCCAAGAAACTGGCTATTTTTCTTTGGGGTCTTTTTATCCTAACTGCCTAGCCAGTTCCTACCTCCTATTCTTATCACACCGGCCTCTGAAGAGGTTACCCATATGCTGATAGGGATTCGATCATAGACCGCTCTGGCTTCTTCCGTGCTGAACAGGGACACAGGGTGAGGCAATTGGGGTACCCCTTCAGTGGGTCTATCTAAAAGATTCCCAAATTACATAACTCTTAACTGTAGGGAGAAAAGAAAGTCCTGGACTGGTGCCTAGGAGATGTGAAGGAGAAGTAAAGGAAGGAGTAGTTGGCATTAGAAATTCTAGACAGGGAACCAGAAGAAAGTCAAAACAGCAAATTTCAAATGTTCATATCAGAGTCCATTGGAATTTCTTAATGAGAGCTTCCAAAAGCACCCCTCTGTTGGGTTCCTCCTCATTTTTCTTTTGTCTGCCAAGGCTGGACTCGAGAGTGATGGACTCAGGATTTATTTTCAGGCACTTTGATAGCTGTTGGAGTGGCTAGAATCAGTGTCAGTTCCCTATCAAAGGCTTCTAGATAGGGGGAGAAAAATTTAGCCATCATTTTAGAACAATAGTGGGTTGTTTGACTTGAATCAGTGCCTGTTTTTACTGGGCTAGGGTAGTTGCTAGGGATTGAGTTTTAGTGCTCTGTATCTGCTAGGCAAGGAAGGACCTTACCACTGGGCTACATTCCTAGCCCTTATTAACACTTTTTTTTTCCTTTTTATGATAGGATATGCTCTGTAGCGTAACTTATTTGACCTTTCTTCTAAATATTATATTTTGTTCTCCCCCCATTCTTATGTTAGTGCCAAATGTTTTAAATACTGAAGGCCTGTAGCATTCAGTACCTGCTAGAATTTGTCTGCTTGCCTTTGAGTATTACTGTTTCATCATATGAACTTTAGAATTAGCTTCTTTTAAGAAAAAATGCTCACTGTCTCAATCTGAATTCTGATGTTATCTCCTTTGAGATTTCATCATATAATAATTAAAAATTATTACATTATTACGATCTTTAGCTTCTAATTTATTTACATTCTTGTTCATCCCCAGAATTGCTACTCTGTGAGGGGAACAGTGCTTTTTGTTTTGTCCCAGTAGGCAAAACAATAACAAACATGATAGCTCTTCAGTATATTCTGTTGAGTGGATAAGAATTAAGTATATGAAAGAATTTTAAAAACAACATTAGGGGGCTAGAGATAGTACTTGTTGGTGTTGGGAAGGACCTGGGCTTCATTTCCATTACCCGCATGGTGTAAGCTCCTTCCAGGGGGATCCTATGCCCTTTCTGGACTCTGAGGGCACCAGACATGCATGTGATACACATACATCATGCAGGCAAACACTCTTATACACAAAATAAATATCTTAAAAAATAAAAACTTGGCATTAAAATAAAACTGTATTCCTGCTAACTAAAGTTAGATTAATAATAGGTCCTTTTTAAGGATTTTTTTTTAAATGTTAATAATGTGTATGCATGAATGTGAGTGTGGCTATCTGTGCATGAGTGCGGGAGTCTATTTAGGTAAAAGAGTCAGAGCCTCTGGAACTGGAGTTCAAGCAGTTATGAGCTGTCTGACAGGGGTGCTGGATATCAACTCAGGTACTCTGAAAGCATAGTACTCATTCTTAACCACTGAGCCATGCATGTCTCCAGCCCAGATCGTTATCCTTTTAATTACTTTAATGGGTTCTGAGTAGTATCTAAATCTCTTCATATTAATATATTACTGTCACTATTTATATCTTTTTTCTTCCACTTTTCAATCCTAATCACTTTCCTTGAGTTCACTATAATACCATGCTTTTGACTTAATTCCTGTGAGAAAAAGAAACTTTCAAATTGACTGAAAATAAAAGTTACCAACTTATTGGTAAGTTAGGTCAACTTTGGTTTACGTTTTGAACAAAGCTGATGAATCAGTATTTAATTTTCATAGGAAAAGTAAAGAGAAGATACTCTGTAATTGATTCATATGTCAAAAATGTTTAGCATAGAATGAAAGAAATCACTTAGTACAAAATAATAAAATATGGCCAACTATTATTATTCATGAAGTTAAATAAAGTGTTAAAAGTAAAGTGTTTTCACTATTTTTGCTGTAGTTGAATATTATTAAGCCAAATACATTATATTCTTAGATTGAGTTTGTCCTCCTTTCCACACAGAATACTTAAAACATTTTCACTTATACATTTAAATTTACATTTTAGTAATTTATACTTTATATGGGTTAGCATGTGGTAAGCTTAGATCTCTTGATGTAATGTCAGTTAAAAGTCAGACAACCAAGAATTTGCATCATCTTCTGAACATGAAGATCCTGGCTTAAACTGTCTTAATGATTTTTTTTCTGTCTCTTCCCATTAAGGATTCTGGACTCTGCTTATAATCTCCCTCACTGCTGGATTCTCCTGTTGCAGCTTTTCTTGGACAGTGACTTATTTTGATTCTTTTGAACCAGGAATGTTTCCTCCTACTCCTCTTTCACCTGCCAGGTTCAAGTGAGCATTTCTAGTTTATTTATTCATTTATTATTAATTTATTTTCATTTGTTATTTCGTGTGGTGTATTTTAAACTAATTCTAGCTCTGTTAAAAATACTGCAGTTAGCTGGGTGTGATGGCACACGCCTTTAGTCCTAGTACTCTGGAGGCAGAGGCAGGTGGATCTCTGAGTTCAAGACCAGCCTGGTCTACTTAGTGAGTTCCAGGTCAGCTGGGGCTACAGGGAGACCCTGTCTCCAAAAGACCAAAGAAGAAAAGAAAACAAAAAACTGCAGTCGTTAGAAGCAAGAGACTGATCATTTGTGAAATATGTTGAATTTCTAAGTTTTGAATGTATAAGATATAAAATGACACATGATTTTTAGGTTCTGTGCTCCACCTTTTAGGTAACCAAAGAAGGTTATTTTAAATTTTCTATCTTGTTAAGCTAATTTAAAAAAAAAGATAAAACTCAAGGAATTAACTAAGAGGTGAGAAATTTTCGTGACTATCTTTTATGGACAAAATTCCATCTAAAACAGTTTAAAGTAAAAATTAATGACAATAGTTTGAAAAGTTTTAGTACCTGTATGGTCAGACTTACACCAATTTAGTAATGGAATTGGACTTTTGTTCAAGATTAGGCCTATACCTCAATTACTAATTAACATGCCTCTTTGGTGCCCAATTTATAGATCCAGACCAGATTAGATTGAATGTCTCTGTAGTGGAATTGGTTTAAAATTTTTTGGCTTGTGTTTTCTGTGTTTCAAAGAATTTTGGACATTAAGTAGGCAATGATCTAGTGCAAGGAAGACCCTCATTTTAAGTGCTAATTTGCAGAGAGTGTCAGAGTTCTCTAGTTTTCAACGAACAGAAGTGCAGAGGAGGTTGATAAAGACTTGAAAATAAATTCAGTTAAATTTATATTTTACGTCATGACAGTTGTTACTATTATTGTTATTACCAGCCCACCTCTTAAACAGGTTAAGAGATAAGAACATCTAGAGAAGGGGACTTTGTGAAGGTAATATAATAAGGATAGTTATATTCATATAATGACAATAATTGATAATAATTGGTATTATTAGTAAATTTCTATGTCTTTCACCCTCGATATAATGTGTTTAAAATTTTTGGCTTCACTTCAAATGTGATTATATATTGTTTGTGTTTTTATGCATGTGTATGTTTTATAAACCCATGTGTGTGTCTGAAACATAAAATCTGTACTTACAAATTTATGTTTGTGGTAGGTAGATTATTAATGTTCTAAATTTACTAAGAGTTACTAGAAAGCTTACTTGGCTCAGAGCTAAAGAGTTCAAATTTATTTTCTTTTTGCCGTCTATTAAAACCAGTACGTTTAGTACAGTATGAATTGTGTGTAATATGTTATAGAAAAAAAGTAATCTTACACTTTTCTTTTACTTATCTCTGACTTCTTTCTTGAAATTCTCATTCTGTATTTCCATCAGTTTAGTCGGACTTTTGAGGATTAAAGACTTTTAGTGTTCCCTTAAAGATCTGTTAAATAATTGGTATTTTGCTAATTTTTAAAATAATTATCTTTATCTTTTTATTAAATTATAACTAGAAATAAGAGACTCCTTTTTTTAAAATATTTTATTTATTTTTATTTTAGGTGTATGAGAGTATTGCTTGCATTTATGTGAGTGCACCCATGTTGTACAATGCTGCGGAGGTCAGAAGAGGGCTTTGGATTCCCCTGGAACTGGAGTTAAGGACGGTTCATAGCTGCCATGTGGGTGCTGGGAATTGAACCCCGGTCCTCTGTCAGTGCTCTTAACTGCTGAGCCATCTCTCCAGCCACGGGACTCCTATTTTCAAATGTATATTAGTCTCAGTTTTAAAATGAGACAGTTTTAGATCACATGCTCTGATTATGCAGTTTAAAAATTTTAAATATAGGGGCTGGAGAGATGGCTCAGCAGTTAAGAACACTGGCTGTTCTTGCAGAAGACCCGGGTTCAAATCCCAGCACCCACATGGCAGCTAACAACTGTCCGTAACTCCAGTTCCAGGGGATCCGACAGCCTCTTCTGTCCTCTGCAGGCATTGCACAACACGGGTGCACTTGCACTTACCTATATGCAGGCAATACACACACATAAAAATAATAAAATTTAAAAAAAATTTTAAATATAGTTCGAAATATGTATACATATTTTAAAATATTTTATTTATAAGCTGGGCATGGTGGCTCATGCCTTTAATCCCAGCACTTGGGAGGCAGAGTCAGGTGGATCTCTGTGAGCTTGAGGACAGCCTGGTCTACATAATGAGTTCCAGGCCAGCTTGTGCTACAGGGAGATCCTGTCTCTAAACACAAATATTTTATGTGTATGAGTGTATTACCTGCGTGTGTATAAGTGTGTCATGCAGTGCCCAAGGAGATCAGAAGAGGCATTGGATTCCCCTCAGAATTGGAGTTATGAACAGTTATTAGCTGCCATCTGGGTGCTGGGACTTGAACCTAGGTCCTCTGCAAGAGCAGCCAGTGCTCTTAACCACTGAACCATCTCTCCAGCCCCTCAAAATATATTTTAATATGCTGTACTCATGTCAGTTTCTTAAAGTAAATACAAAATATAAACACAATACAAAAAATATTTTGTATCTCTACAAATGAAGGTCTGGATATATGCACATAAGCACTTATATACAGTGATAATCAGTTTGAAAATGAAAACATTGCCCTCTAGTGTTCATGGAAAACAGAGTTACTGTAGAAATGCCTAAGTACATATTCACTCTACAACCAGTAGAGTGAGTCCTTGTACCTTATACAGTGAAATAGCCTTTCTCTTTTGAAAAAGTTGAAATCTTCAGACGATTTACTTAGAAATCAAAGATCAGATATATTTCCCTAATGTGTAACAATGTCTTGATTAAAAATAGGTTATATATTATACAACCTACAATAAATAATGTTAATATAAACATATTTCCTGAATGTTTAAAGATATCTGATTCTTTGTTGAAAATATTAAAATAGGACTGAAGTTGTAGCTCATTTGGAAAAGTGCTTGCCTAGCAGTCACAAGGTCCTGAGTTTGATTCCCTACCACCATACATGCTTGTACCCCTAGCACTATAGATGTAGAAGCCAGAGGATCAGAAGTTCAAGGTCATCCTTGGTTGAGGCTGCGTAGCAAGTTTGAGGCAAGCATGGGATACGTGAGACCTGGCCTCAGAAAGAGAAAAGAGAAGGAGGGAAATTAAGAGAATAGAACAAACCAATAATCAGGGAAATGACCATCAACATTTTAACGTATATCTTTCCATTCTTTTATTTTTGTTTGTTTTGACACAGGGTATCCCTGTAGCCACAGCTGCCCTGGAACTTGCTATGGAGACCAGGCTGGCCTCTATCTCACAGAGATCTTTGAGCCTTTCTGCCTCCTGAGCGCTGGGATTAAAGGCATATGCCACTACACCAGGTTTTACTATTTTACTATTTTACCATTTTAAAAATGGTAATTGGGAACACAGTGTACATAATCTTTTGTATAATAAAATTCATAAATGTCCTTGATTTATTAATATAGTCTTGGTATCCTTTACAGAATAAAATGTGGGTTTAAAAAAATTCAATAATTGTGAAGGAAAGAAAATCAAGAATACTGTATTTACTATGATTATGAATTGCATTTTACTGAAATAAAAAATTCCCAATAAAAACATGTTGATATTTAGTAAATACATGCTAAAACATTTAATGAAATTGGCAGTCTAAATGAATAACTAGATTAGGGGTTGTTTTTATTAAAAATTTTTACTGCCTTTACTCTGTGTGTGGTTGCACATACAGATGTTACACAACTTGCTAGAGTTAGTTCTGTCATTCCACCATGTGGATCTTGGGAATTGAACTCGGGTCATCAGGCTTACATTGGCAAGTTTCTTTACTCATTGTACCATCTTATCCACACACATACCCCCAATATATCTTTTTGACTTAGCAAAGCCTATAAATCCATATTCCTGTTAAAGTCCATTAAGTGCATATTTGAAAATACAGTTTAAGTTTCACTTCTAGAGCAGTCATTGTTACAGTTTGCACGCTTTACAGCTGGGTAGAACCATTAATGGTTTTCTGCCTTGGCAGCTTGCATAGTATCATCTGATACTATGAGAGCTAGTCTCAGGGAGGAAGTTTCCAGGTCAGTTCCAGCTTGATTGGTGCAACTCTTGTGGCCAAAGAATGCCCTGTCTTCAGCAGTAGGGTCTTACCTTCCAGTTCTGGGAGGCAATCAAGGTCTGTGACAATAGCCTGTATTATTTTGGGAGTCCCTTAGAGTGCCCTGATCAACAACTGAAAGGGAGGTTTCCCTTGCGTGGCACCGTGATTTTTGTTATATGGCCTTCTGCTATACATATGTACACATACGTGTGCATATATATGTGTGTGTATGTGTATTTTTCAGTAGACTTTGAACTAATACATTTCCCTTTGGCTTTTCATACCACCTAAACATTATCTGTCTCTCCTTTCTCTTCCTGTATAGTCTTTCCTGTCCCCTCCCCAGTTAAGTAATTCTATTTTGATAACACCTGTCTCCTATTCTCCCCCTTTCTCAAGCTCCTTCCCCTTTGCCCCCATGGTTCCTTTCCATTTTCATGGCTCCCGTGGTTACATTAGGCTATATACTCACATCTAAGGATTTGGAGCTAGAATTCACAAATGAGAGAGAATATGCATCGCTTGCTTTTCTGAGTCTGTAACAAATCAGATTCTCTATTACCATGAACTAATGAAACAGATGTCAGATGGCTAATTGCAGTAGGAAAGAAAAGCTGCTGACAAAAGAAATAGATCATGGTCTTGGCTTTGATATCTGAGTGTCATGAAGTTTCATTATCTACGGACTGCTTGGAGCCGTCATTTGCAATGAATATATTAATGACTGTATTGATAATAGTATAGTGGAACTTCTGGAAGTGCAGGGTTAAAGTACATGCATGTCTTATATATTCCATTAGTACTGAATGAA